TGGACTAGATGACCTTTAAAGGTTCCCTTCCAACCCAGACTATTCTATGATTATATATATATATATAAAATATATAGAGAGAGATGTATCCCAAATCTAGATATATTAGAGTTATAAATGATAAATGCTTAGCTGTGGGGGAAGTGGGGAGTTTCTGGGCAGTGCCAGCTGGGGCAGGCAGGGCAGGCAGGGCAGGCGGGGGGCTGTGGCGGGGCACAGGGTCCCCCATGACCCCGTGCCGCTCTCTCCCCTCGCAGGGCAGCCCAAGGTCTCCCCCACCGTCTACCTCTTCCCGCCATCTTCCGATGAGCTCTCAACACAGAACAAAGCCACCCTGGTGTGTCTGCTGGGAGACTTCTACCCGCGCAGCGTGCAGGTGGCCTGGACGGCCGATGGCCGCACCCTCTCCAGTGGCATCGAGACCAGCCAGCCCCAGCGGCAGACCAACAACCAGTACATGGCCAGCAGCTACCTGACGCTGAGTGCTGCCGACTGGAAGAGCCACGAGACCTACGCATGCAAGGTCACGCACGAGGCCGGCAACGTGGAGAAGAGCTTGAAGAGATCCGAGTGCTCCTAACCCTGCCGGGACCTCCCCGCACCCGGCAGCCCCTCGCCGGCCCCCTCCCTCTTCCCTGCTGCTGGGGGCAGCGGCTCCCCCCCACCACTGCAGATGTCTCTCCCCATGTCCCCCTGTCCCCTGCTCCTGTCCCCCTGCCCTGAGTGTCACACAAATAAACACCGACACTGAACTAGTGCTGGCTCAGCATCCCTGTCTCTGTGTCCTTCCAACGCGCCTGCTCCCCCCGCGCCGGCTGGCATCACCCCAGTGGCACCAGTATGGAGGAGGGTGGGATGGAAACACACATGCACGCGCACGCGCACACGCACACACACACACACATGTATTGCTGGGGGTGTCCAGGGCTCCCTGCAGCTCTTGCTCACCCCCAGGGACCCTGCTGAATCCCCCTGGGACCACCAAGACCAGGGGGCGAGCAGCTTGGGGCATCAGCCTGGTCTAAGTTCCCATGCTGCTGGCGAGCACGTGGCCCTGGCCGTGCCGGCCTTGTCCCTCCCCCGCTGGCCTCTCGGCACCAGGTCCCTTGCAGGGACACGTGGTTTGTGGTGGGGCGATGGCCAGCTGTGTCCCTTTGATGGCCAGCCCTGCCTCTGTCCCCATTTCCCTGGTCACCCCTGTGTCCCCCGGGATGGGGGTGCCAGTGTAGCCGCCGGGGCATTCACATGCACCAGTCCATCTCTTGCACCCTGTGCCACGGCAACCTGGAAGTTTCCCTGTGGCCCTGCACATAGAGCGACTCACAGCCACAGCTGTGCTGAGAGCGCCAGTGCTCAGCTGTGGGTGCCTCATCAGAGCTGCCAGGAGCCACCCCGGGGACAGGGGATGGGAGCACCCCGCCACACTGTGTGCGATTCTGGGGGAGATGCCCCAGCCTCTTGGTAAAGGGGGGATGGCCTCACCACATTCCCCCTCCTTGGGCTGTGTCAGTGCCAGCGGGGTGCCAGGCCCCACCAGGCTTTGGGTTGCCACATGTCCCTGCAGGCGTCTTCTGGGGACACAGAGTCACAGAATCACGGAATGCTTTGGGATGGAAGGGACCTTTAAAGGTCGTCCAGTCCATCCCCCCCGCAATGGGCAGGGACATCTACAACCAGATCACGGTGCTCAGAGCCCCGTCCAGCCTGGCCTTGAATGTTTCCAAGGATGGGGCATCTCCCACCACTCTGGGCAACCCCTTCCAGTGTTTCACTACCCTCATTGTAAAAAAGTTCTTCCTTATATCTAGTCTGAATCTCCCCTCTTTTAGTTCAAAACCATCACCCCTTGTCCTATCGCTATTGGCCCTGCTAGAAAGTCTGTCCCCATCTTTCTTATAAGCCGCCTTTAAGTACTGAAAGGCCGCAATGAGGGCTCCCCGCAGCCTTCTCCAGGCTGAACACCCCCAGCTCTCTCAGCCTGTCCTCACAGCAGAGGTGCTCCAGCCCTCTGACCTTTTTCGTGGCCCCCTCTGGCCCCGCTCCAACAGGTCCGTGTCCTTCCTGTGCTGAGGACCCCCGAGCTGGATGCAGGGCTCCAGGGGGGATCTCCACGTGCACTAAAATCAGCTTTTGCCAAGCAGCAGGGCTGTTTGCGGCTGCTGTTTCTCTCTCGCTGTCTGGTGACCCTGCAGCCCCTGGGGACGGTGGGGCACTGGGAGGTGCACTGAGTGCCCCAGGCCTCTGCCAGCCTGTCTCCCTGTCCGCATGCCACCGAAGGGGGTCATCCCAGCTGGCACAGACAGGGGCTCAGCCCCTGCAGCACAGCACCACTCTGACCCCCAGCAAAGTCTCACCCCTCGCTGGGGCCGCCCTGGGGTGCCCTGCTCCGGGGCTGCTGGGGTTTCCCTGGCTGCACCAGGCATTTTGTTCTCACCAGGGCACAGCTTGAGCCTTCTCTAGGCACCCCGAGGAGCTCCAGGGATGTGTGCCAGGCCTGCGGTGACCATGGGCACTGTGCAGTCCTGGCAGGACACAGATGGGAGGGGCGGGGGGGACGTGAGCCCTGGTCTGCCCTGGCCCTTCTTCCCTCCTGCTTTTTGGAGCTGGCAGCAGGGCCTGGACCCCACCAGAGGTGCCAACAGGCACCTCGTACTCCAAAACAACTTTATTGGCTTTATTCTGGCTTTATCCTGGCTTTATTCTGGCTTTATCCTGGCTTTATCCTGTTCCCCAGCCGGGCAAGGGAGACCTTGCCACAGCACAGCCCCGTGCATGGGGCAAACCCCCTTCCCATCGCCCTGCACGGGGGACTGGGATGAGGGAGGCAGTCCCAGTGTCCCTGCCCATGTGTGGGGTGACAGACTCAGGGTTTTCCCAGGAAACCCCATCTCCACAGAGCAAACCTATGCCCAGGCCAGATCACAGTCCCCTGGGCTGCCACTGGCCACAGGGAAGGAGTCAGCAGTGGGACAGATGCTCAGACTGCATCACAGCAAGGGAAGGAAGGGCGATGGAGGCATCTGTCCTGATGTGTTTCAAAATGAGCTCCTTTAAGACACAGCTTCCCAGGCAGAGAGAGCCTGCAGCAGTAGAAGGCCGGCAGAGTTGGTCCTGGGGTCTGCCGGGCTGCAGCACCTGCGGTAGCAGGTCCAGGAGGTGAGGGTCCCTGCAGCGTGGCCGCACATAGCCAGCCTGGCTTGCTGCTGGGGGACATGGACTCAGAGACGGCACCAGGTCCTCCGCCCCGGCGCTGAGCCCCTTTCCATGGGCAAGCAAGGTTATTCCCCAGCAACCCCCTGCCGCAGCATCCTCATCCCTGGCCTCATGGTGCTGCCAAGGCTTTCACCAGGGAGAGCTGCTGCCTGGGTTTCTGCCAGCCAAAAATGCCCCAAGGACTGAGACCTGCTGCCAGGAAGGATGCTCGCTTTCTTTCCCACTGAGAAAGCTGAAGCCTCAGTAATTATTGCTTCCAGTAGTTGGCAAATCACCCCTTAAGCAGTGGTTGAGGCCGGAGTGAATGACGGGGTAACACAGGAGCCCCTGTCACAGCCATGCTACCAGGTTTTACCCTGCTAAATGCCACATTTTGGGGGGCGGCTGGTCTGGAGGGGGGCAGCAGGGCAACGCTTTTGTGCGGCTTGAAATCCATCTCGACATCCCATGAGTAAAGCCTGTCCCTCGGTTACAGGACACTGGACCGAGCTTTTCACCAGCTCAGTTTGGGGCAGGTCTTGCTGGGCCATGAGCTGGGGTCTCGCTTTGGCTCGGGTCTGGGCGAGCAGAGCACAGGCGCGCCTCTGACTCCTGGAGCAGGAAACCTCACTAATTATTGATTAAAAGATTTTGCTAAATCCTTTCCGTAAGGAACAACTGGCAAGGAAAAACCTACTGAATTATAGATCAATGGCCCTGCCCCTCCCAGGGCCCCCATACTCCCCCGCCGCCCACAGCATGGTGAATTTTCAGCCACCTTTTTACCCATAACAAGCCCTTCAACAGGGCTAGAGAGCCGCTGCTGGGAATCACACTGGGATGCGGGGCCTGATCCAGCCCCCAGCAGGGTGGGAAGCAGTGCCTGGGAAGAAAAGGCATGTCCTGCTCCCGCAGCCACCCTCGGTGGGGCTTTCTGGTGAGCAAATGTGCTGAGCCAAACTGAAACCCACGCCCCTCCCCAGCTGCAGCTCTCACTCTTGCTCTGCTGTCTCCAGTGCTGCAATTTTAAAGAGTAATTTATTTTTTTGTTTTCCCAGCTTGCCATTAATTTTAAATCAAGGGGGATCTAATTTAGTAAATGAGATGCTTCAGGAAGGCTTTAATCAGCTGCAGAGAGAGGCAGCAGGTCCCATGGCAGGGTTGGGGCTTGGCGGGAGCTGTGCTCCCAGTCTGAGGCTTGCAGGCAAGGGCTTAGCAAGGCCTTCGAGGGGGTTTAACAAATCCCGGTGGTTTAGATGCTTTGGGCTTGGAGGGCCCCCACAGCCAAGACCAGAAGGAGGGATGCGAGGATGGAGGCAGAGGGGTGTGAAGCCATGGGAGCTCTTGCAACACTTGCCCCAAAACAGCCCCCCCAGCCCCAGGGGGCAAAGCTCTGCTCCAGTCCCCAGACCCTGCCCTGGGGTTAGGGCAGCTCCCGCACCCATGGCCTTGCACCTGGGGGTGGCCGTGCCAGACCCCCTCCACAGGGACCACCTCCAGCCAGGTTTGTCCCCCCAAAACCAGCCCAGGCTTGCTTTTTTTTTGTTGTACACCACTTGGTGATTTCCCCGGGCCCCGGTGAGCCCCAGTATCTCACGCCAGGAGGATTTGGGGTCTCCCTTTGTGGGGACGTGGCAGGAGCAGAGCGAGTGCACCTGGGGCTGATGAAACACCTCATCTGGAGAGACATGGGCGACGTGGCACAGCCGGAGGGGCCGGGGGGGTCCTGCCTGCCCTCCCCGCGGCAGCTGCAGCCACCCAAACAGCCGCCGTTCCTGGAGGCAGCAGGGCTGAAACTCGAAAGCAAGAGCTGGAGCCAAGAATAGCCCTGGCCCAGGCTGGGGGGGAGCGGGGCAGAGCCAGACCCCGCTTTGGCTCTGTGGCTCTGCCAAACTCAGACGACACCCGATGGCCTCTGCCCTGCCGGAGCAGGGGGGTGCAGCCCCCAAGCACCCGGAGAGGCGGCTGGTGGCTCTTGCACCCCATCCTGACATCCCCCCGCCCACGTACCCGCCTTCTCCAAAGGGTTTGGGGTAAGGCTGTGCAGAGCCGGGGCTGTGCCACGCCAGCCCTGGCCCCCCCGGCCCCCTCAGCCGGCACCGCCGTGCAGCTGTGCGGCCGCGGGGCATCCCCCGGCTAAATTTACTCCTTGCCCGCCACAATCTCCAATCAGAAACTTGAAGGGGGGGCCAAAAAAAGGAAGCGAAACCGTCTCCAGTGGGTGCTGACGTGTGAAGGCGAGTGGGTGCCACGCAGACAAGCCCAAAGTCGGCTCAGCCCCGAGATGGTTGCCGGCTCTTTGCTGTGGCGAGTTCGCCCCTGCCTCACCAGGCTGTCGCCTCGCAGGGCCATCAGCCACTGCAGCGGGGGGGACAGGTTTTGGGGCAGCCTGAAGCTGCCCAAAATGGGCGGGGGGGGACGGGGACCAGGGACCCACTGCGGGCTGGTGCCGAGGCTGGCGGGGCTGCGTGCCTGTGCCAGGGTATGTGTCCCCAGCCCAGGGTCGCCCCTCCTGTCTCCTGGAGGGTCCCTGGCAGGGTCCTCCCCAGCGGGATCTCGGCCGGCAGAGCGGTCCCTGCCCCAGTGTGGGGGTGTCCCAGCTGCTGCATGTGCACACACATGCACACATTTGCAAATGTGTGCACGTACACTTGTGTGCACGCAGTTGCACACATATGCACAAACACGCGCGCGCACACTCTCATGCACACCCCTCCCCAGTAATCCCAGTGCAGCCAGGCCCCCGGCCGGGCACCGCTGACCCCCCACACACCAGGTTTGGGGCCAGGGCTGACCCTGATACTGCTCAGCTCATGGCCTTGTCCCCCTGTGCCACTGCAACAAGGGGACTAGCCCGGGGTCTCCTGCTGCCACCCCACTGCCGGGTCACCCCAAATCCTCTCTCCTTAACTGAATTAAAATAATCAGTCTCTGCCTCCTGCCAAGGCAGCCCCTTAGCTGGGCTTGTCCGTCAGTCTGACCTGCCATGAGATGCATGGGGCAGCCTCCAGACTCCCACAATATGGGGAAGATTTCCCCAAATCTGGGAAATAAAATACAGATTATGAATGAATAAAGTATGGGTTATAAATTATAAAATACAGGTTATGAATTATAAAATACTATGAAACACCCCCCCAGTCAAAGCCCCAGCTGGGGACAGCCACAGAGCCCAAAGCCGAGGTTTATTGCCCTGCAACTGAAAGGGAATTAAATGAAATAAATAAATGTTTGAGGCTGGCGTGGTCGAAAACACGACCTGAGCAATCAAGACCACTTGAGAAGAGGAGAGCATTTGCATAGCTCTGTCAAAACAGCAACCGCCGGCTCGCAGCTGGCAGCCGGCAGGGAGGCACCCGGAGGGGTGGCCGGACCCCCGCTGGGGTTTTTATTTGTATGTGTATTAAGCCTCGGGGAGAGGTAAACAGTCCCAAAGATAAATGCTCAGGCTTGTAAACAAGCTGAACCGACTCAAAAATAAACACCTTTCAGCTGCTTCAAAATATTTATCATCTCAAGTTTGGCGTGATAATAAAATAAACCTCCCAGCAGAGCTTCAGCCCTGGTCTGGGGACCAAGCAAACCCTTGTTTTCTGCTCATACTCGGTGTAAACAGCAGGTGTGCCGATGGAGAGGTTTTATCACAGGGCTAGTGCTGCCCGTCTGGAGAAATAAGATTGTTAAGTTTCAGCCCTTGTTAGGACTTCCAAGATGGGGCTTTTTTAGCTTAATGTTAAGAAATTTCTCAGTAGGGAACATTGGTGGCAGGGTGACAGCAAGGAGGTGGCAGTGGTGGCTGATGGGTGTGATGGAGGCATCCGCCGCAGTCCTCGCCAGGCCCTCGGGAGGGAACAGAAGGGTTTGACTCAACCAGTTAGGAAGGACGTTAAGCCAAATTTGGTTTTCTCCCCCTCCGTGGCCCGCCGGGGTGAGCAGTGCCAGTGCCACGGCTTTTGCAGCCAGCCCGGGGGGGACTGGAGGGGAATGCGGGGTGCACCCCGGGGGTGAATCCTGCACTCCGGCCAGTGCCACCCTCACCAGCAGCCTCCCCACCCTGAGCAAATGCCGCCAGCCCCAGCCCCAGCAGAGCCCCAGCCCTTTCCCCTTCCTCTGCAGCCATGGCAGGGGAAGAATATCAGGTTTAAGCATTTCTGCCACGTTTTGGGCACTTTTGGCCGGGCACCCTGGGCTGGCTGTGGGCAGGGGGGTGCCGACACGCATTGCCGGCCCCCGAGGTGAGCTGATGCTCTCCCCGGGCAGCTGTGCCGACCGCAGCCCTGCTGTGCGGGAACAGCCTTTGCTAAAATTACCACCTGGCCGAAAACAAGAGTTCGCTTTGGCCAAACACCAGCTGGGAGCCAGGAATAGCCCCGGCACGCGCCGCTTCCTCGGCACAAACTTTCCAGCACGTGGCACCCACAGCGTCTCTGCCTGGCCGTGCCGTGGGCAGGGCGGGAGGCGGGAAAAGCCATTTTATGGCCCCATTTCAGCAACGGCTCTTGGGGGGGGACGACTGTTCCAGGTCCTTTTTCCCGGGCAGCCAGGGCAGCCCAACGTTCCCAGCGGGAAGCACAGCACCTCCCCAGACATGGGTCCCAGCGGGCTTCACAGTGTGTGCTGGGCCGTTGGGGTGGTTTTGCTGTCCAGCCCTACAGAGGGCCTTGGCTGCCAGACCCTGGTGCCACTACTGTCCTCTGCCGGGGCACTGTGGCCGGCCGGGATGGGTTCCCCAGGGAATGGGGACCCTGAGCACAAGGGTGTCTGCTGCTGCCAGGCGTTTTGGCCCCCCGCTGCTCTTGGAGAGCCACAGCCTTGTGCCCTCAATGGACCCCCTGGGCAGGCAACGTCTGCCCCGCTGCCCAGGTGCCCCTCACGCCCTGGCCTGGTATTGGAGCGGGCTGGGGGGCTGCAGCCATTTGGGGCTCGCCGGGGCTCGCCGGGGCTGACCGGGTCCCACATGCTCTGCGGCTGGACCCGC